TTGTTGTTCTTGGTTTTCGCGGAGGAAGGATCCCCATGGTGAAGGAGGTTATGGATTTAAGCATCAGTAACACAGTTCATAGTTGACTGGAGTAAACTCAAGCCCATCACTCACGAGAGAATCAAAGGATCTAAGCTCTGATTCATCGTGCTGTTAGAGTGTTTACCATTCGAGTGCGAATAACAGTAACACCGAGCGAGACACTTGAGAATGATCAGTTATGGACTCTCTCACATAGTGGAAAGTGGAACTTCAAATTGATAAGTCGATAGTGAGAGTGGCAAGCAAAGATTTCATCGAGGGTCTGTATCAGTTCAGCGCGAAGACCAACAAGCCATAACGCAACGAAAAACTGTACAGAAACATTTCCAGCGATTCGGAAATCACTCAGAACCATGGCAACCAAACCTTGGGCGGGCGCGCAGAATCTTCAGTGGAAGTCTTATTGATGTAACTGGAGGCAACCCCTGATCGACTCAATGCCGAAGCGCTGCTTACCAGTCCATCGTTTTCACCGCCTCGACAGCCTCTGATATTTTGAGCAGTAAATCTTCACACCCTTGCTCGTCGAGAAGTGTAGACTCCTGCAGACCAACCTGCTTTACGAGAACACTCAAGAATACCCTGCCTGCTCATCTTCCGCCGTGGCCAGATGGAACTGTTTGATGCCTTCCAATGCCCGACTCAAGATTGGCACGAACTCGAAGCCCATCCCAGGTTCTGATAATCGATTATTCGATGGGTGCACGGGAGGCTCTCGAAAGACTTCGCAGATCTAAAAGAGGCGAAGACGATTAAGGAGGATCTATCGCCGTATGAACCTCCTCGAAATTATTCTTGATCGGTTGTATGAAATTCCCTAACAACTCTGCCTTGACTGTTGTTGACCATAACACGTAAAATGCACGGAGAAATCTGAGTGAAAATCATCTCCCGATGCAACAGTAGAAGGCTTACTCCTCCACTGCACTCCGATGCAATTCGTAGACCTTCGTGCGGTTGAATAATGACGGTTGCTTGCTGACCACCACATGCCTGAGTTAATCCCAGCTGGGTACTCTCAGCAACGCTCGAGGCCCCCTACTGCTTCACAGTGGCGACGAGCATGTCCCTCCAGGCCGGCTCGGGTGGGCTGCACTCAAAAGGGCCATCGGGTATTTGGTCATCCAAAGCTGTGAGCTTTTCCGCAATTCGCTTCTGCATCGCTCCGTCGGCGTGACCCTTGCGGAGATAATGAACGATGGTCCGCGTCCATTTCGTAACGCAGTAGTAGTAGACTCATACGCCTGGT